AAAATACAATAGTGTGCGTTGGAATGACATGAAAAGATTAAGAGACAAAGCATATGGCCTACCAACGTCTAACGTGCAATTGCATAATGTGGAAAATGCAAGAAATACAGTTGAAATTCTTCACATCGGCAATACCCCATGCTCCAGTGTCAAAATTAAATTGAATTCGCTAATTCCATTTATTCGAGAACGCAGAGATAAAAAATGCGGAGGAATCGAAGTAAAAAACACCGGCTAATCTTCTCGAATGTCTTCGATGATAAAGAGGGTAGAGGGAGAGGTGGGACGCAGCCATAAAATAGTCTTCCGAGCCTCCCCACCAACTTTGCTAATCGCGATAAAGCCCGTCTGATAATAATTATTTGTCGTGAATATTGTTGACGTTTGCCTGACAGCTGACGGTCAGCTAACCAGCCGCCCATAGATCGCGACGATCGAGGACCGCAGCGGATATCTCATGCGTTAAATTAGTACTTCGTTAATGACAAAGCATCTACAATTTGCGACATCCAATACGTAGGAATCATTACGACGTCTCGGTTTTGCAAATCTCCAGGAATTTTACAATTGACATGGAGAAATTCCTAGATGAGAGCAAAGAGCAATGCGTAGGCATTCTCGATCGAACGAGAAAATTGCCTACTTTATTGATTTTGTCAAACGTTAATTGTGCACCTGCTATGATCAATATAACATGACGAGGATAAATCAAATGTTAAGCGTTGAATTAATTAATTAAGCTATTATAATCGATCGCGAATAAAAATCTGGTTATAAATAATATAGACGATTACGTATTTTGTATTAATATATATATATATATATATATATATATATATATATATATATAGTTTATTAGCTATTAGCTAAATAAATACCGTGAATTAATCGACTAACTATTAGACGAATATCCGGCAGATTTTATTATTTATTTAATATTTGTATCGGATGCGCGATAGGAAAGTATTAGAGCGTAGATCGAACATTTTTAACACCCCTGTCGGCCGAACTTCCATGCAATCCTATCTATACGAGCAATTCTTAATTTCAAATTAATTCTAATATATTCCCATTTTAGCCGCGCTCGCGATTTCAAGTACTCATTACTTCGTGTCAAATTGCGAATTGAGCGAGCTGCGGCTCCTTTGCTTACGAAGAGCTCAGGGCACATATATTTTACCACGTGATACCAAGACTTACTTACCTTATGATGTATACATAATTTATGTTGGCGTGATGTGACGTTCGCGACACGAATTTAATGCCCGTATTAAATGAAATTTACGAGGTCCCTCCTACAACGTATTATACCCAACCGCCATGAAAATCAATCTGCGACGCGAATGGAGAATTCGTGAGCTTGGCGCCACCTTACGGTGAGCGGCTGTAGCTCGCGTCGGATGGTAACCTGATGAACATTTTCGTTGGGCTCGTTGCAGTGGGAATATCGACCGAGTCTTCGATGCAACAATAATTATTGATTATAATAACTAATTAATTTCATTTCTAATTTCATTTTTTCAAGCACTAATTAATAACAATAAAAAATTGAATTAATTATATAATTATAAATCATATGCTTTACAAAGAATCGGGCCCAAAAGCATTAGACAATCTTTTTATTTGAATATTACATTTAAATTTGACAAGCCTTCTATTAACAATAACAAAGAAAATCTTAGCAGCTAAGAATCGGACTACATTTAACATGATACTAATTGTTATATTTGCTCATAATATTGCTGGCAGCTTTAGTATTAGTAGGGTAAAATAAATTAGACAATAATGGGATTAGATGAATTAAATTTTTAATTAATTTACAGAATATTTCAATTTTACAGTGTTATCGAATTCAATAATGAAAATACGAATGCCTTTAGATTCTTATACACTACCAGTACGATAATGGAAATATATCAAAAATTTTACAACACACCGCACAACATTATATATTGAAGCTGCATCAACTGATGCTTTGCAAACAGGTAGCATAAATATGATTAATATAATGACATATAATGCATTACCAGCATTCACAAAATAGGTCAATTAATATTATTTCACAATTAATGTAAAAAAAATGTCAATTTATAAAAAATTTTCTCCTCAAAAAAATATGTAATTTTGATTGTTTCCAAGACTCGATTTTGTGTTTCTCAGACTCGCGAAAATATATATATATATATATATATATATATATATATATATATATATATATATAAGTGTGTTTGTGCGGGTGTGTGTGTGTGTGTGTCTCTCTCTCTCTCTCTCTCTGTGTGTGTGTGTGTGTGTAAAAAAAAAAAAAACAAAAGAAAAAAAAGAGAGAGAAAGAAACAAGGTATCATTTAGTTATATCTGTACCTTATTCTGCGTAAGCTTTCCTTTCACTGTTCACGATATAATATGACGAATCTGTGTAATTCTAAAGTAAAAAGCTCAATACAAAGTGTTATGATCAAGACGATAGAAAACAAAACGTACTTAATGTCGTTTTAATGAATTTATGTGTTGTAATCGAATTAAAAACCAGCAGTGACTATTAAGCAGCGATCAGCACTTGAAAGTTTAGTTGTAAAAAACATTTTACTTTATCATTAATTTATACAACATTCTGTAATAATTATTATTTTTCGCTCGTTTCTTAGCTGATCTAAGAATAATTGTAGGCATAACAAGAGGACAAAAGTAAATCCAATGAAACTACCTCAGTGGATTATATATTTATATAATATAAATATCTTATAAATACTATTATGTCATTATTTAAAACATCTTGCTTGCACGACTGAAGTAAAGAACCTAATTTTTTTTTTACTTTCGCGTGGGAATAAGTAAAACAAGACGGTTAAAAAAAATAATAATAATAAACAAATAAATGACGAAAATTAAAAAGAAAAAAAAAATTGAAGAAATATTCATGTTCATTGGCCACTTTTTATTCAATAAAGTTTTGTAACTAGCATTAACGTATGGGTTAACTAACTACTAGAAACAACGTAAATGTCGATAAAGCAGAGTAATATCGAAATATATACAAAAAGGATGTTGAGAAATTAATTAAATCAGTCACCGGAGAAGCATTTGTTTGGCGCCGCCATATTAAAACTACAAAACTCAACATTAACGGAGAAAAGTACTAAGCATTAGAATATAAAGAAAAATCGATTTTTTAACAATTTCATCTTCATCTAGCTCTTGAAAACTTGAATTGCCCGCATGATTACAGTTGCTTAATATTAAAAAAAAATAGAAAAAAGAAGAATTCTCATCGTTAATTCAATTATTGCTATGTAAGTGTTTGTATGGACAGGTCACAGTAAAGATTATAATTTTATGTATCCAAGAAAGTATTTAATTTAACGTATAGTCTTTAGTTATTTGTTATAAAAATAAAAACTTTAAGGATAAACAATTCGAACGATCCATTCGCGTTTCTTATGCAATATTAAGTGTAAACTAATATGATTATACATTGTTGTTGCTGTTGTCGTCGTTGCTGTTGGTGTTACTGCTGCTGTTGGTCTTGTTGATAACAATAAACACTAAGATACGGATTTATGTATGATAATTAAATTTATCTCTCGATTATTCCATTAATTTTACATAAATCAATATAATAATATTTAGGTTTACAGAGATAATCGTATATAATTGACTATAGAGAAACGATGATTCGTTGTCTGCTTTTCATTCGTATTAAGTTGACATTCAATAAAATACATTTTGAGGCGCGATTGTTCGCGAAAAAACGAAATCGATTTTTCTGAGACTTTGAAAAGTCGTAAACAATTAAGTTCTGCGTTCTCTATTAAGAAGACGTAAAATCCTGATGCTGATTGGTATAATTATTCTTTACCGAGCTATTTTACCAACGATATAGTTTAATTATTAGTAAGTAATACATTTTTAAAGATATTGTTTCTCGTCTACTTCACAATATAATTCAATATTCATTTGTTGCGGTGACATTGAAAGGCGTTTACTATACCAAAGGTATATATAAATTAACAAATAATTTCGACGCATCGCACAAACAATGAATATTGCTTTTCCATCGGTATTAGTCGGTAGGAAGTACTTGGTCGGCAAATACTTAGGCCACGGCTTATAGACATTACATATTTCACATCGTCCATTTGTATAATACATTCGTGCTAAATATAAAGACACGCTGATCTTGCATTTGCATAACAATAACACACACGTGCGCACTCTCTCTCTCTCTCTCTCTCTCATTCGCGCTCTCTCTCTCTCTCTCTCTTTACTCCCCACCGCGCCATAGATACCATTGGACTCTTTAAGCACTTTGACGAGAACTTTACGGATGCGTGGCTCGTCCTTTCCATTGAAATATCGTTGTCTACAATTTTCTACAGGCACTTTTTTTTTAACGAAAGATCACGATGGATCACTAAAATCGTTGTTGTAAAAATTTACGTTTACGCGGGGGGTACATGATTATACGCAAAGCAAGTAGCAGCGATTTAACTTTTCGCATGCCCGTAATGTAACCTCGTTTCGCTAGGAGCTTACATTATCTACTTATACCTTACCCAGGATGAATATTCTCTCATCCTTACATACAAGAGCAAGCTGAGACTCACATACAACGTAACAACGAATGCTTCGAGAACTTTAAAAACATCAACACTCGACACAAAGAGCGAATATCGTCTATGCTTTACCGATCAATCGATGCACTTATCAACGTGAACCCTTGCGCGATCTCAGCTGCTATGAAAATTCAGAGGCAAAATCACATCGCGCGACGTTTCAACGGTTCCATGGCAACATCTTATCTCAAGTATTTTGAACGATGCGCTCGTAAGGAGGAAGTATGAAGCCTCCGTACGAATTATCCCGATAAAAGGTCCAACAACGAGTATCGATAATAATCCGCTATCGATGCTCCATTCACGCCAATTGATCTTGGCTTCTCCTCATCCTGCTCCTCTTCCCCCTTCCTTCTCTTCTACCTGCTCATCCTAATTCTCGTTCACGGCCAATTAAACCCAGACACTGAGGGACTCGGCGGTGGTCTGTCCGCCGCTGGCGAAGCTGCCGCTGTGGCGTTTGAAAAGCGCCTGGAACTCGGCAGGCGTGGACGACCAGCGCCTGTGGCGTATCTTCTCGAGCGGCACTTCCGGCAGCCCGACCTCCGTATGGCATCCGCCCTTGATGGGCGAAAGATTCGCGACCTGGGGCAGCCCGACCTCTTGGAAGGACGACATCGAAGAGAAGCCGCTCTCATCCTCGGCGCTGCTCACACTCGTGGCTGGCTTCGGCCTTGACGTTACCGAGCCGCCCGAATTGCCAAGCGCCTGAAACGTGTTCGTGTAGCGTTAATTCCTTTTCACTCGTTCGCTTAATAATTTGGCCGACGAGCGAGAACAGCCTCCCTCGCCACGGGACTCCCCCGACACGGATTACCGAGCCTCGTTCTCCCATTATCATGATAATCCCCGATGTCCTTGGCAGTCTATTCGCCAGTCCGACGAGGTCTTTGCTCGATTAGTAGATCCGAATTTTAATTCACGTTCGATGCTTGTTTTTTGCATCGAGCGCGCCTTAATATCGCGCGAATTGAATCTACGCGATAATGATTTTACTCTATCCCGTCCATGCACGTTTCCGCCGCCCGCCCCCCCCCCTTCCTCCGACCAACAACAACTTCAGTGCATTTCGGAGCGTTTAATTGCATTCCCTAAGTGTTCATAGGCAAAGCAAGAATTAGGCTTGTATAATCGTGGCAAATGTCGTTTCTTGTATTTTGTCCTGTTATTATAACGAGCTAAGGATCATTGTTAAGTATTATCAAAGCACGATAAAGTGACTGAAGAAGGACGGATAAACGTACCCGGTGACGACCGACCGACCGACTACTCACCCAGTCGCGAAGCGCCTTTAAGTGCATCTCCTTCCTGTCCGACTTCTTCACTTTGCGATTGTGCGGTGTGGAGGTCGGCCCGTGGAGACGTTGATATGTTCCCTGTAGCAACTGTTGCTGCTGAGGCTGTTGCTGTTGCTGTTGCTGTTGCTGTTGCTGTTGCTGTTGCTGTTGCTGTTGTTGCTGTTGCTGTTGATGCTGCTGGTACTGTTGATGATGATGCTGCTGCTGGCTTTCCAACTTGTTGGCGACGGCGGTGACGATCGGGATTGAGCTCCTCGCAGGCCCGTCCTCGTCCTCCGTGTTCTTGCTGCTAGTGGAGTTCAAGGAGGCCGCGTCGATTGACTGCCTTGTCCCTGGATTGAGGAGGTGAGCAGACGTCGAGGAGCCGTTAGAGACCTTTCCCGAGCCGAATGCACCGCGGCCGACCTCGTCGTCGGTCGTGCAGCAGTAGTTGACGTCGTTGGCCCGATCACCGCTCGCGCAGACCGCCATCGGCGTCTCCTGTAGCGTCGTCGAGTTGGCGAAGCTACTCTGGAGAGACAGCGAGGATATGTCCGGACCTTGGTCTAGGATGCAAGCCGACGCCACGGCCTCTTGGCTGGCGCTCAGTCGTGCGAGGTCGGGTTCGCGCATCACCAGCAGCGACTGCACCGTTCGCATCAATCTGCACAAATTGATAATGTTAAGTCGCGTGTGGTAAGCCCTTCTTAATCCCCCCACCCCTCCCTCTCTCTCTCTCTCTCTCTCTCTCTCTCTTTCTTACACGTCCCATAAACGTCAGCCTGATCTACAAAATCTGCCATTATTATTATTAAAGCACTGAATTTTATAATCCCCGATCGCGACGTGTATTATGTAAGCCTTCGTAGGTTAAATGCATCGTGCCACTTATAAAAGCAGACACAATATCCGGTTTCATTGGATATCGTCATTTGGTAATTGCTACGTTACTCCTCGGCTAAGGACTCGTCGTTTAATGCACTCGATAAATGAAAATGCTGTACATTAGCCGTCGTTTCACCGAGTTTAGATTGATTTCGTATGCCTTAGTGTAATTTAGCAATGTCAATCCCACCCGAAGGTGCCCATTCATGCCCAAGATTGGGCATCATTAAGTAGCTGATTAAAATGGGACTGGTAAAATAGCGACCAGCTAGAATTTGCGAAATTAAAAAATGAAACGGAAAAGAAAGAGACAAGCATTCCCGAGAGTGGAGATGTAAAAGGCGATCAAGGCGAAGTCTGGGAAATGGATTACCTGAAGGCCTCTTGCGCCAGCTTCTCCGGCGGCACATCATCCGGATCGATCTCGGACTGCCTGGGCCTCCTGTATGCTATGCTCTCGTGCGCCTTGTTGACATCCTGGACGCTGGCCGAAGCGTGGGCCAGTTGTGGTGGCAGGGGCTTCGTCCTCGGGGAGGCCGAGTGCGCGGGCTCGTTCCTCCTGAGCACCGACCACGTAAAGTCGCGAAGACTCGTGGCGGCGCTGACAGTGACGGGACCACTGCAATTAGCCGGTATCTGAGCGACGGATTTGGCTCGGCCGAAGCGCGACGAGGACGAAGACGTGGACGAGGCCGAAGACGTGGAGGAGGTCGTCGAAGAGGCGCATGACGAACTCGGCGAGCCACCATGGTCCGCTTGGACCGCGTGGACGCTACGCGAGCGGGGCACCCGGGACTTGTCCTTCGTCGCGCTCTTACCCAATGACTTCTCGTGGATTATGTCGAGGCTCTTGCGGGCGCGCTCCAGGAAGCGCACCACCTGCTCCATTAGCGATCGGTACATCTGGCGATTGGCCTCGCTCTAAGCACACCAATACAACACAACAAAGCGCAAGGCTGATTAATTAGACTCGGCTCTTTTATTCGCCTTCAACTCAGGGATTTATCGATTGATTAATTGATCGATTGATTTATTTATATAGTTTGGGGAGCGTGTTAAGCTTTTAAAAGCCAAAATTTACGTTATTACATAATCCGAGAGCTTCGTTAAAAGTCGAAAAGGTGTGGAAGTTTTACAAGAATGTGCGCGTTCGAAACATCTGTCGATAGTCTGTTCCGTGTAAATGCTTAAGCAATTTAAATTCAAATTTCATTAATGAATTAGTTATTTTAAGCTTGACTAACATACACTTTATAATTGCCAAATTATAATAAAACATTACGTACTTAATTGTAATTACATATTACTTGCTTTATTTTCATTCACTGTTGACACAATTCGTTATTACTCTCTCTCTCTCTCTCTCTCTCTCTCTCTCTCTCTCACTCACTCACTCACTCTCTAGCGTTAATATATATATATATATAGAAAATAAGAGAGAAAAGGATGATTGATGAAGGTTTTCTTAGTTTTTTATTCATAAGAGGCTAAATAATGTCATCGTATTTATTGTCAATTTTTAAATGGGGAATTCATAATTCATTATGAAAAATAGCATACAATTTGATTCGGATTTTTATGCTTATAATTTCATTATTAAACTGTAAATAAAACGTGGGGTGATGCAAATTTGGATAGATTATTATTACTAAACACGTATAATAAGCCAACGTTAAGGGTTATTGAAAATTAATTTGCATTAAGACATTGAAGACCATATTTATTTTTTGTATAAAATTACCAACAATAATGATTATTTATTATTATTAATATCATAATTATCGTGATCGTCATCATAATAGTATCTTATTGATCGGTGCAGTTTGCTTTAAAAAATGTTTTCTAACGATGATTAAAACCGTCTATATTGAAGCTGAAATTAATTCGTATAAAAAGTGTATCATCGATCATCAAAATTAAATATTACAAATTTTTTTTATAATACTATGAAATATATATATATATATATATATATATAATCATCTTGATAATTACTTTTCACTATGAAAAATGTTTGAGAAATAATATTAGAACGTTAATTTTTAAAATATTAATAAACTCGATTATCAAGCACTTTTAAATGACGTTTGTTATAAAAATTTCAAAAAGGTAACTTGAATATTATTTTCTTTTTATCTTATAAGTATTATAATTGTCCTGTAAGATCTATAGGATGGAATTTATTTGTAAACATATAGACACTTTAATAAGTGTATTTTACTATTTAAGACAGGCTAAATAAATATAAATCACATTATCCAATTTTAATTTTCCACTAAATGCATTGAATCATTTAAATGAAACTGGAGAGCATCGAAAATTAGTTTTCGACATTAGATTGCACAGCACGGTATTGAATAAAAATTATCGATAAATGTAAAAATATATTTTAAAAAGAGATGATTTTAATGTAATTTATACTACTGAGTGAATTAAGATTTTTAATATATTTAATTCTTTACTGAAAATTGTAAAGACCGACGCTTCGTAAACTATGAGATAAAAACATCCATAAAATAAGCTAAGAGAATTATAAATTTTATCTGATAAATTTCATTCTAAATTATTAAATCATTTAAATAGTCATTTCATTAATAATAAATGTATATTATTGAAAATATATTAGCAAATATATTACTTAGGTATTGATCGCATGTTAGTTTTAATTGCATCGGACATTCAATAAATAAAGTAACTTTGTAAGATTCACGTAAACACTAAATAGATCCAAGTAATATGACGAGCAATGATGGCATAAAATTTGTTACCCACTTTTATCAACATCAAGCGCATTCAACCCTCATACATTATATATCACTGAAGAGTATGAGAATGCATTTAAATGTATATAAGTATATAAAATAATATGAAATTTTTTTTACTTTACACCGAATCTTTTTACATCTAATCTATGTTTTTTTTTTTTTTTATAGAAACTGTAACAAATATAATCTTATCGTGTTTGTGCAATTCCTTTAAATGCAATAATCGTATCCTATCTTTCTTAAGTTTGAATAATGTTCACTTTGCGTCTTCATCGTTATACACAAAATATATGCAATTTTTAGAATAATAAAAATACGTCAAAAAAAAAAGAAAAAAAAAGAGAAAAGAAAACAATCTATAATAAAATCGGAATTTACTACAGAATTATGATATTACTAATTGTGGAGTTATTAAAATTATTTACTGAGTAGTCTGGAATATTCGATTCGAATTTCAATAATTGACAAATTCTTAACTGGGAAATCTCAAAATCAATCCACAACTATTTAACTAGAGATTCGGAATTGCAAGAATTACTATGTTATACGTATGAATAACATAAGCATCGGTGGTTCAGTGGTAGAATGCTCGCCTGCCACGCGGGCGGCCCGGGTTCGATTCCCGGCCGATGCAATGTTTCCATTTTTTTTTTTTTTTATTTTTTTACATCATATATTTCTCATTCGTAATTATAGGTGACTTATGATTAATATTATTCTTGTAATAATTGAAATTGATATTTTCATTTTATAAACTTATTTTATATTTATTATTTTAATAAGTAATATTGTCTGCAGCAGCAATTATGTTTGTAGGTTTATGAAATTATTTATTATTCAACACCAAAGTCTAATATAACAATAAAGAGACTAGCTTCGCCATTTCTGGGGGTTATTAATAAATTCATAATTCAATGTGTATTTATCATTGAAATTCCAATAACAACGAAGGCGTCGAATTAATTGAAATCAATCATTAAATTACAAAAAATAAGAAATAATTTCCCTTCGACTGCATATCAATATCAATAACGATAATACAAAGTCAGAACATAAAATTAATTAATACAACTGTTAGGCATGAATATAAGAGATTGTAAACGTATTTTTTGCACAAATTATTTGATGTAGAATGCCAATGTGTATTTTTTTAAAACGCACGTAAATCTTTTAAGTAAGGGCTTTTTTTTTGTTTTAAAAAACAAGCTATCACGTATATACCGTATAATTATTAAAAAAAAAAACAAAAAAAAAGAAAAAAGAAAGCAAAAAAAGGAATAAAAGATTCGAAATAGAAAGTTAAAGAGTAAACGAATATACGAAAACTTCTAACTTCCTGAACGTATATGAAGAAATAAATCTAATTGGATACTTGTTCTCGATTAAATTTTATTGATTTTTTTTTTAACTTTCGACGTTATTCCTTAGTGATTAAATTTTATTAAATAGAAGGGATTTAATAAAATGCGATCAACTGCGATATACCGACTTTTTTTTCGCAATATCTACAACTCGATAATACTGATATTTCAACGATTTTCATGTCCTAAGAAAAATATTACTAAAACAAGTTGCTTGGTTAGAAGGATAAGGATAATTATTGTATATTTACAAGAAAATTATGAGCAATTAAAATTATTCCTCTTCTTTTTTTCTTTTCACCGTAATTTCACATTATAATCAATATTGCATCTATCTGCGTGCGGGCGAAGCTCAATAATCAGTAAGTTGAATTTATTTTCATGTGATTTCATTTTTTTTTTTTTTTTTTTTTTTCCAATGGCAAAGCTCTCTCAGAGTACAATGAATTCTGAGTTTATTTTATGGTGTAATTCATGAAATTGTCATTAAATTGTGTTTTTTCAATTCTAGTCGGCTTTAATACTTTTAAACGAAAACTCAAAGAGATTGGAAAAAACAAATGACTGTTTACGGATCCTATCAATAAAAATGTGACATTTACTTCTTTTTTTTTTTTGTAGTTATATCCCTTGTTTTTCTATTCAACTTATTAATTTATGAAATATCATGGTAAGAGAACGGAATTATTATTATTTAATATTGGACAAATTTATTGAGAAAAGAGATGACGTAATGTTTAAAAACTTAATTGTTATCGCGTAACCAATAGACGTTAAATAAATCGAATCATATACATGTTTTAAAATTTTTTTTCTTATAGAGTTAAATAGAAAACCTATTATCGGCTAAATGGACACGGCCATCTAATCTCGTTAGACAGTGAAATTATTTAAATAAAACATTAAATTGTATATACTCATTAACGTAATTCGATTAAACCTTTTCAAATTAATGATTTTTCTTTACTCTAAAGAGCGCGATAATCATTTTATTTCTTTTGTTTTGTTTCCATAAGTAGGGATATCAAAGTATTACATTCTCTAGAAGATGATAACAAGTGTAATGAGAAAATCATTTAAACGCAAGTTTTGAAAATATCTATTTAACAAATTCAATAGTATTATAATTTTTTCTTTTACATTGAAATAAATTATTTTTAAATATAAATAACATTATTATATTAATTATTTGATTAATAATTATTATTTTTTCATCATAACTCTGATAAATTATTGTGCACTGCTAAGTATTGAATTAAAATATTCAAGGTCTAGGAAAGTTTATCAAGATCGATATCTTCATATATTGTCAGCATCGAGTGTGTTGAATTTTTAATTTTTCTTATGCGAGATCGATTACCGGAATATAATTTGATTTTCAACATCTACTATATATTTTATTCTATAAAAATATATAATTAAATACTTATCGATTGAATGAGATCGTTTAAAGTATCAAGATAAACATAATAATAAAAGAATCAAATGACCTGCCTCGATAGAGCAGCTTATCTAATGAATTTTCAATCAGTTTCTCAGCTCTTTCCACAAAGATTATATTTCATTAAAAAATTACAAGCTTTTCTAGTAATTAAGTGATTTTTACATTTGTTTACGATGATAATTTAAAAAGAAAAAAAAAAAAAAAAAAAAAGATGATTCTCAATAATTTCAAACTGTTGAAGTTAATATAATTGTTTTGTATATAAGAATTTTAAATTGCATTACCAAGCAACAAATAAATATTCGTTCGATTTGTTATTAAATTTTTTCATAACTTGTGAAAGCAATATTTCTGATAGATAAGTCGCTACGATTTAATCGCCAGCTTAATGTCTCATTATTACTCACTGGAATCCTTCGAGTGGTGTAGGAAAATGCAATTTTATATTCATTTGGATATTTTTTTTTTTTTTTTTAATTTAACTTGAAGCCGTTTATCCTTTAGAAGAAGAAAAAAGAGAAGATAAAAAATTAATTTATTATTCAAAAGCTATTTCATGACTAATATTAATAAACGGGCTGAACTTATGTTCTCCAGAAGACGACTGAGTCATTATAGATTCCTCATTACCTTTACGATATTATTTTCCACCGATTGGCCGAGTTACACTCCCTCCCATATATTTATAGAATTTCACCAATGCCGATCTACTGAATTTATTTAAAAAATATATTAATCAAACACTTATAAGTTCTATGAGATTACATTTTATTATAAGTTCGGCTAAGAAATTAGGCAGGCATATTATTATCGAGCTTATTATTCTTACGTAAAGGTACAAAATTATTTTATAATTAACCAAATCCAATTCTGCATTGGGAAAGCTCACTTTCATAATTCACGTGGCAAACTCGTTATAAGAGTTTCTTTCTTTCACCGGCAAAATCAATTATTGCTCGTCGTCATGTCGCCCGCTGTCATGAATCCGTAGCAGCGGATGTGCGAGGATGTTGGGTGGTGCCCCCCCCCCCCCGGGGGGGGGGGGGGGGGGGGGGGGGATGGGGGGTGGGGGGGGGGGGTACGAGGCCCCGTCAACGAACGTAGATATAAAAATAAAAAATCGCATCCGCTGCTGTTCGATAAGAGCATAATGGGGGTTGGGATGATGGCGGGGGAAGAATACCGTCCGGGCGGATCGCGTGGAGAAGAGTCGATATATATCTTCCTCTCTCTACCCATAACATTCTCACTATGTGTATATATATATATATATATATATATGTGTGTGTGTGTGTGTGTGTGTGTGTGTGTGTGTGTAGGGGCGGGTGGAGGAGGAGGAGGAGGAACGTAGGGAAGCCGCGAGTCGAGGAATTCGCTCAAGGGGCCGTTTTATGGGGGAGGGGGGGGGCACCGATCGCATACCTGCTTAAGCTGCCACTGGAGCGTGTCCACTTGGCTCTGAAGGTAGACATTGTCGATCACCTGTACCTGGGCCTGCTGACTTCTCAGACTCGCCTGCAGCCTCTCGTTCTCCTCCGTTAGCGCCTGGCATTGCTGTAACACGACAACCAAGAAACAGGAAATGTTAAATCATGTCGTACTATAACATTGTATTTTAGAGCGTTTGCGAATGAGTTGGCAATGCCAGTATTTTCCAAATGTTGGCCAATTAGTCGCCTTTGTAGGGCCGAGACGGTTTATTTATGATCGCTATGGTCTCTTTATTCTTCGCTACGAGCGTCTATGAGCATCAGGATTATCGAGGAAGTGTAAAATTTAAAGAAAAAAGTCGTAATCCCGGGGACCGTTAAGAAATGCACCTTTTATCTAAGCAGCCCAATAGCAATAATATGGGTTGGGGGGGTGGGGTGAGGAGTAAGGAGTCGCTCGTTCATGGGGTTTTTGGTAATAAAATATGCCCATTGGAGCATCGGTCTCGCTCTTATTCGTTCGTATCTTCCAATTTCGTGTAACGTCTATTTCAGCTTGCTTCCGCGGAATAAATTTATTCGCTCAAATAAGAGAAACGCCGAAAGGGGAGGGCGCGAACGGCTCACCGGTAGCGAACTTATTCTTCTAATATGAGATGCCGCGTATCTTCTTGAAAATCGGCGAGTCCCGGTCAGTGACCTTTCTTTCAACGTGCCCCCGTTAAAAATAGATGCAAACAGAGATAAAAATAAGCTGTGCGAATAAAATTACAATTGCACGAAAATGCGTAAATAATAAGTGATGAGCAATTATTACGGGATTAATGATATTTACGAGTGGGAATGCGCATATGGGAAAATTAATTTTCATTCCTTCATTTAATATTTACCATGTGAAATAATAAAATTAATAATAACGGGTCGTAATGGTAAAGGCGGAAAGTTAATTATAATTTTCTTACGCTCATAGTTAATACAATAAATTTCGATCTCCTTTTCCTAGCCCGTCCACTAGTATCGTTATCTCTCTCTCTATCTCTCTCTCTCTATCTCTCTCTCTCTATCTCTCTCTCTCTCTCTCTCTCTCTCTCTCTCTCTCTCTCTCTCTCTCAAAACTCAACGTAGTTCCGTAACATTTGTTTAATTAGTATTGTAATACTTATACTTTACTACGTAGCGCTCCGTCGTCGTGTAATCGAAGGACAATGACTTTTTATTCTTCATAAGTAAGGGGATGAATGGGATTCATGAGATAAACGGTAAGTAATAAATTTGGGAATGTAAGTGAACGAAGTATTTGATCATTCTTTTTGTGCGGGTAGTACCGAATGCTAATACATGTGCGCGCACATAGAATAAATATTTCTTGAAATACTTTCGATTCATTCCGAGTTTTTCTTTGTTTTTTTTTTTGTTTTTTGTTTTTTGTTTTTTTGTTTTTTTTTTTTGTTCGATTTCTTCTTTCTTAATGCGAAATTTAAGGCCAAATAGTTGTTATTACCTTTTTTTCTTATCGTAAAAATGCAAATTAATATTGCTCTTCTTCCAGGGACAGAGGGGGGAGGGGGACGGCGGCGGCGGGGTAGAGCCAATTGAATTATGCAGATAAGTAAATCCAATGCATCGTTAATGGTGTTTAAATTGCTTTTAATAATCGCTTTCATTATGAATTATAAGCTTATAAAAAAAATAATTATTGCGCTCCCTGGATTAGGGCTCGGAGCGTTTATTAACAAAACAACGAGTGACAGGATAGGAAACGGTGATCCTTTACCGATCACCCACGTCGTCACCGTCGGTACGAAGCGTCATACTTAACAACGGCCGCGGCAAAGAGTAAGGAAAGAGGCAAGATCCTGCTTCTTTCACCGGCTCGCGACCGAGTCGAGCAGCCGAGGTCGCCTTCGAGGAGTTAAGGTCACGTCCGGGGTTTCAAGCGCCTTGTCGCGCTGTTTTGGACGACCCGCGTCGGCACGAGCTTCCCAGGTGATTATTTTATCTGCTTTTTCTTTCTCGGGCTTTTAGTTTTTTTTTTTTGTTTTTTTTTTTGGTTTGTTTTGTTTTTGTTGGTTTTTGCCTGTTTGAGAATACACGTTCAGCGGGAAGAAAGCTCGAGGGGCCCGACGACCTCCGACTTGTTGATCTTGACTCCGATATTGGCAACATGCGTTATGTCGAGTTTTCTTTTGTACTCGGCGCTTTGGGCTTGGCGCACCCAAGGGACACATCCACGAAATTTGCATGTTTTTAATGGCGTACGATGACACTTTCTGGATAGGATCGATATATAATAAAAGGCGGGAGACCTTTGCGCGCTGCGGTTTAAAATAGCCTTGGTTCTGGAATTCTTGAAAGAACGCTGTAGATCTTGTTTTCTTGAAATTAAGTCTTTAATGTGTGTCAACGGAACGATGGCAAGAAAATAACAAAGTATTATTTTCTTATAAATTACCAGATAATCCAAGAATTATACTATTGGATTTAATATTAATTTTTAACATTATTTTTTCAATGTTACACGGGCGGATTTTTTTTGTTATTTGTTTTTTTTTTTCTTTTTGTATTTATAATCTTATATTTAGAAGTACACTTTAAAAACTAATTTGCCAAACTAAATTTCTAAAATTCTCCGTTATTTATTAACACGTAATATTCTACATTTAATTTCTAAAAAAAAAAAAAAAAAAAATACTATCTTGTCAATAATTTCCACCATTCGCAGAATTAGCGTTACAACGACAGTTGCATGAATTAAAGCCTCGCTCGTTTATTGTCAAATCGAACTTGAAATATGTCGTTCAAATTATATATAATGAATTCAACGTATTATTAAATTAAAGATAACGATATGATATTATTATAACAAATAATGATTATCTCTAGAAATTACAAATTAATGGAAAAAATTAATTCAATAGTTTAGAAAATCCTGTGTATCCAATACAATACAATAATATTGTATGTACAAGAGTGCTGCAAAAATTCAGACAAAGATCATTGTTTTGCTGTTTCTGTGACTTTATTACAAGTTTCTTGGGAAACTATAAAATCATTTTTCACTTTCTAATTATTTGCATGTAAATCAACCATTCTTCGATATTAAACTATCTGCATAATATTCTTTTTTTATTGACAGTGTATAATGGCGATATTTCTATGTAACTTACATCAATATATATACATATATATATATATATATATATATGGATTTGTTAATTTCGTAAAAAAATTACGTTTCATTCTGCGTGAATAGTAAAGACTTAAAACGAAGAGTATAGGCGACTTGTGTTGATAATACTTATGTTTTTGAATTACAAATATTTATAGGTATTTTTGATATTTTACGAAATAATTATGTCGAAATATTTCTTAATAATGACGCTGGGTCATTTTAAATTTTCTAAAATCAATCTTATTGTTTTGTTTAAAACTTAAACTTTCATTTATACGCTAAAATTGTTGTTTTACTTTGTTCACATTTTTTATGTAAATTAAATTCTTTCTATGATTTTATTAATTTTCTGTATGTATACATAATTTATTATTATTAAAGTACTTTATACTAAAAATTTCTTCAAATATATATATATATATATATATATATATATATATTTATTTATTTATTTATTTATTTATTAACATTGCATTTATTCACATTTCATACGTTGAAATATCATTATTAATCAAATATTTTTATCATTAAATTTGTGCGACTAAAAAATGCTATATTTTTCATTACTGATAAGCGTTATTTGATTACACTTAAATTAGATAACTAATTATATAAAAATTTCATATTCTGTACGTTCAGAGATAGTGTAAAATAATGATTATTTTGTTTTAATTCAAAAAGCATTAAATGTACAATTACCTGAGTAGTATTATAACTTTACAAAACCTGCTTCGAGTAGATATATAATATAGCATATGTTTAATCGATATTGCAATATATTTAAATGATAAATATTTGAATTTAGTTTAGGCGCAGAAAATTTCCTGTTTATTTTAATTTGCGTATTTAATTTATGAATAATGAAAACATAAATAATATCATAAAAATTACTTTAAAAACTTTACAAATTAAGCGCCTATTCTAACTAATGAATATGTATATGTATATATATATATATACATAGACACACGCGCACACACACACGCACACGTACACACGTACACACGCATGTATAGGATTTAATTACGTGTTTAAAAAATAATGCTCTTTATTTTACATGTTTCATACATTTTTTACGTGTTCTCAAGAAGTATTTTTGTAGATTAAATTGATATCGGTAAAGTGCAATAACTTTCAGGTTCTAAGCGTCATTCAAGTGGAAACGGAAGTTGATGAGAAAAAAAAAGTTAAAATTGTGTCATTAGAAAGTCCGAAGTATGATAATGACAAAGAATTTTCCACTTAATTATTTCTACGTAATTACACTTCATTGTTTATTCTAACAATTTTACGTAGTATTTTTTTTTTATCATAGAAATTAATTATCCTAAAATTTAATTATCAATTGCTGTTTCACTGGATATCTCTCGGCTACTTTTTCATTTAGAGCTTAGAAATCTGATGCTGAAGAGTAATAGTGACGTTTCTTATGTTTATTACAATATTCTTGCTACTACGACAGCCCTTCTAGCGTAAAGTAAATTTTTGCCGTATAAATCTACATTCCTGATGAAGAATGCATAAAGCAAAGTATTAAAATTCGAGAAAGTATATTGTTTTTTTTTCCTTCTTTTTTTTTTTCTTAAAGCCGATAAAGCAGTAAAACGGATCGTTAAAAATGCATAAAATGCAGATAAATCAACTCTACAGTTAACCAGAACATAAACACATTACTGGGCTTAATACGACTCGCACAATTCGCCGACGAAAGCTTATGCCTCATTTTATAATTATATTGTGCAAATAGCAAAGATGGAGCGCAACGGATAAGCGCAACTGACGCATCCACACAGGATTATAAAATACTCGATCGGATCGGATTGTGCCGAGCGGTGGTGCTTCGTCAAAATGTGCCTATTAATCCCTATAACGTTTGGTTGAAATGGCAGAAGATTGTAAAAATGGCGCATCCCGATATAAATATTAAATATTCGATCGCCAATGCGCCATTG